TCCCCCAGCTCTGCCCCCACCCCCTGCTCCCTCCCGCTTCCGAAGCGCTCCCTCTCCCCACATTAATCTCTGCCCTGCTCACTGCTGACCCAAGCTAAATGGAGTTTGCCTTTTCCCCTCTCGGCAGTTTTCTGTTGGCAAAGCAAAAAGGATTGCAGCACACACTCACCTCCACCTCCCGCCCAGGGAGGCTCTGCAAACCCAGCACTCCCGCCTGGCACGGCACGGGTGATGTGCACATAGCCAGTGCACATGCGTCCCCCAGCCAGGCCAGCCGTGTGCCTGTCCTGTGCCTATCGCTGCTGCTGCACACAGGCATGCACCTCCCACAGGTATTCATGGCCCTTGTAGAACAGGTGTGGTCCTTCTGTAACCCACAGTGACAAATGGTGACATGGCTGAGTCAGAAAGTGGGATCTAAAGCCTGGGTTACGGGCTGTGGCCAGACAGCTCAGGAAGGAGCGAGCAGGGGCCATCAGAGAACAGCCATCCTGGCATAGGCTTGCTCACACATTCCTGGCCCCTGCCTTTGCCCACCAGGATGCCCCACACACAGAGGGACTCCAGGGTTTCCCATGTGGTACAGGGCTGGGCTGGCACCCACAGGACTCTGAACAGAGAACAGCCCAGGCCTGGTTGTTAGGATGAAACTGAAAGTTCTGCTGGGCCAGCATTGTGCCCTTGACCTGTCCCTAAGGCCTCTGGGAGCCGGCTAGCAACTCCAGCACTGCCAATTCAGCCTTCCGGGTGGACTGGAGACGCCTGGGAGGCTGGGAAAGGTGTTCCACTCCTGTTTGCCTGGGGAGCAAGGCTATGGTCAGTGCCTCCCAGAGCCCAGCCTGGGAGAGTTTGTGTGGAAGAGTTCCTTGTGTCTGAAGAGTGAGCAGCTGCAGGGCAGGCTGAGGGGACCAGGTGCTGCCTGGCTTGAACTCTTCACCCAGGGACCCCGCCTGGGAGCCCCCGCCCCGCCCAGCTGGGCCCTGGCGACCAGCCCTGTGAGAACACTGTGACAGCCACTGCACAGGTGTGCAACTGAGGAGGGAGCTGCTGAGCTGGAAGCCCCTTGGCAGATGCCTGACAGGAGAGTCAGCCCCAAGGGAGACCTTAACAGGTCATGAGGCATTTGAACTGGGGACAGCAGTCCTAGGAGGTGGCAGCCATAGCTTCCAGGGGCCCAGGCTTGGTAAGAGGCCAGACGCCGGCAAGTGGGAAGGGTGTGCTTGTGCAGGAGGCAGATCCCATGTCTCCTAGGCTGCTGTCCCCTCCTCAGGTTTGGGAAAGTTCCAAGAGGTGGGGGGCTGCAGTGTCCTCCCTTCCAGACAGGGCCCGCCAACCCTGTCATGCCTGATTATCACGCAATGGCCTCCTTGATGCACAGCTTTATTAATCAAATTAATAAGCGCTGAGGAGACCTGCCTGACCTTGGCCTGTTCTGCTGAGCTGGGGATTCTCCTAGGAGAGCCAAGGGTGGTTGGTCCACCTGGACCCACTTCCCAGGCTCAGGCTGGCGGGGCCCTTCCCTTCCGCTTCCCAGACACTTGGCTGTGGGTAGGTTCAAACTCAGGGGCTCACCCTCCTCACATCACACCTCCCACCCTATACTCACCCCATTCACCCTCTGACTCCCCACACTGACCTCTACACTCACCCTACACTCACACCCCTGGGACCACTTGCCCATGCCAAAGTGGGCAGGAGGCAGTGGACAGCAAGGCCTGGACCATGGAGCCAGAGCCAGAGCACAGAGCTGGCTGCTCCCACCTGGAGCCCTTGGCAGGGACTGCATAAAAAAGGGAATCTCTGACTAGGAAGGGGGCTACCTTGATTTCATGGGTTTGTTCCCCAGATCCAAGCCTGGCAGATTGGGAGCCTCCTTATGGCCGTGTGAGTGGGCAGTCACTGCCCCCTGGTGGCCACAGGGACAATATCTGGCCAGCACAGTCAGCCCATTGGAGAGGCCCTCTGGACTGCTTCCAAGGCAGCCTTTCTCCTTGCTCTCTTTGGAGCCCAGGTCCCTAGCCCATCTCTCCAAGGGACCTGGGGGCAGAGCTCTTGCCTATGGCCTTGGGGGCCATGCTCATGGCAAGACTGAAAGTGCAATCCTCAATGGTGGGGTCTCCTGGGCAGAGGGTGGGACAGCAAGAACAGGGAGAGGAAAATAAGATGTAGCAGGGACCCTGTGCAGAGGGGATGAGCCTTGTTCAGCCAGGGTTGGGACAGTAGAGGGGAGCTGGCAGGAGCATCGTGTACCAAGCAGAGTGGGGCCTGAGGTAAGGTATGGGTGGGGCACAGTATGGGGGGTTTAAGGGGCCTGCAGTAGGGGGCAGCATCTCCCAGAGAGGTGGCCTGAGTGAGCACTGTGCCTAGAGGGCACTGGGACACCTCTGGGTGTGGGTGAAGTGACTACCATCCCCAGCACTGGGCTCAGACCCACCTTGTCTGACCATAATCTTTAATGGGCATCTCAGCCTTAAGCAGAGCAAGGCATAGCCTGAAGGTCACTGAAGGTGGTGGACAGAGTGCACAGGCCACTTCTGGCTACTAGAACCATGTGAGTACCAGCCTTCATAGACCCCCTGGATGCTTGGAGGGCACAGGCACACCTGGCTCAGGGGCAGCTGCCAGAGTCTCCACCAGTGCTGGGCTGGGGGTGCCCCCCTGTCTTGCACCACTTGGTCTTCGGGCTCCAGCCAAGGAGGGGCAGGGGGCTGGCATGCACGGGGGTTGGTATCTCAAAACCGCACTCTCTCTGGCTCTTCAGAAGCCCCCCTGGGCCCAGCAGAGCCGGCCGGCGGTCCCCCTGCAGCCAGAACAGAGGTGGTCACAGTCAGTGCCAAGGCCCACCCTCATGATAGTCAAGCTGGCAGGGAGGATGAAGCTGTCCTGGAGGTAGCAGGTTGGCTGCGGGTGTGTCTGGGACACTGCTGGGTGAGCACGCATCACCCAAACCTGTGGGTGACTGATCTCTGGACACCTTAGATTTAAGGACAGAGCCCACTGAGGTGGACGGGGGCTTCCTGGGGCACAGGGCAGTGGCTTCCAGGTGGTGGCAGCAGCACAAGCGGCTACTGCTGGGCTACTCCCGGTGAAGGCCCCCATCCTGCCACTTCCTCTCTCGGAGGCCTCTGGAGTATCCAGCGAAAGGCCAGGGCTTGGGTGAAACAAGGAGGTTGGGGGCCCCAAGGGGCTCACCGTGCCACGTGGCTCAGGATTGGGCAGCAGGGACACCACGTGCAGGCTCACGCCCGCCTCGCCCACAGCCCTCAACTGCGCCACAACCTCGGCATGCTTCCACCACTTGCACGGCTGCCCGTTCACTGACACGATGTAGTCCCCCTCCTTCAGGCCAGCTGCCTGCAGGGAACACAGACCAGTGAGGCGGCAGGACAGCATGGCAGGCTGTAGCCCAGGGCTTGGCCTCAGGCCAGAGCCCTTACCGCAGCTTGGCCCCCAGGAACCACAGCAGCAATGAGGACAGGCGAATCTCCCCGGAGTGTGAAGCCAAAGCCGCCCTCTCCTCGGATCATGTGGACAGGTCCCGCCAGCCGCCACTGGTTCTTGGTTGAGAATACAGACAGGGGCCCCTGGAAGAGGAGGATGAGAGCCTCATTGGGCTGTAGTCTGAGGGCTCTGAGCATCCCACTTCCAGCTGGATACCTTGGGACAGGAACTGGTGAGGTGGGTACCAGGGTGGAGGGGCAGGGCCACCATCCAAGATCATCAGGGGCCTGTCTGGACTCCTGTGGTGGGGAACACAGCCCAGCTATCCAGTGAGGGGTGGTGCAAGCTGGGTGCTCACCAGCCGGTGGAAGATGTCAGCCACTTTCATCTGTGACAGGCTAGATGGCCTGACCTCTAGCTTCCGGTGGGTCTTAGCTGACAGGGTAGGAGGAAAAGGAGGAACAGAGGTAAACCCAGGGCTCAAGGGGCCCCATACCCTTGAATTCTGTCCCAGGGGAGGGGTGACCCCGTGCCCACTGGCTCTTCCTGGGACCTCTGGCCTCCTGCCTTGCTGTCCCAGGGCCCCTCCCCCTCTGTGGGCCTCCCCGTCCTTCCCAGTGGGGTTGTCCTTATCTGTGAGCCATGGCAGAGCAGGAACCAAGTGGAGGAGGAGAGCACAGTCCAGCTGGAGCTCCTGCCCCTCAGGCCCTCCACAGGCTGGTGGGACAGGGCCTTGGTTAGTGTATCTTTTTTCTGGTACTGAGAATCTAATCTAGGGCCATACCTTAACCCTTGTTTTAAAATTTTTTCAGACACAGACTTGCTAAATTGCCCAGGCTGGCTTCAAACTTGTGATCTTCTTGCCTTAGCCTTCCAAGCTGCTGGGATCACAGGCATGCACCACTGTGGCTGCAGGGGTTTGGCCCACCTCTCTTGGCCAGGACTGAAGCCTCACCCTGAGGCCTCACCCACCCGGCTGGGCCCTGGCTGCTCACGCTGGATGTCGGGGGCTTCAGTGGCCTCAAAGAAGTCATCCTCACGCTCAAGCTCCGAGTACTTGGCCAGTGAATGTCGCAGTGCCTGGGCCACTACAGCCTGTAGCAGGTCCACCGTGCGCAGGACACGGCACATAGCATGTAGCCGCAGCGCCTCTTCCTGGCCCAGTATGGCGCGCTTCAAGTGGGCCTTGGCTGTACACAGGGCACAGGGCTATCACACATAGCCATAGACAATTTTAGTCTCCGCCCCCAGGTATGTTGCCAGTGTGGGGTATGGCAGCCGGGGAACAGTCCAGACCAGGAGAGCTTGGCCAGGTAAGAGCCCAGGCGGCACAATACCAGTTGGTGACAGTGGGGCTCCCAGTACCCTCCACCTGCCAACGCCTCACCAAGCTTCCTGCGCTCCTCTGGCTGCTGCGGCAGTGGGGGGCCTTGGTACTCGGGGGAACGTGGGGGCTGGAAGACCTGCTCATGCATGGGGAGCTCGCCTTCAGCTGCAGCTGCTGGTCAGAGAGGCTGTGAATGCTGAGCACAAGCCCTCAGCCTGCACCACAAGCACGTGGGGTGGGGACACTCACGGGAGCTGTCGCAGAGGGCCACTGCAGCGTGGTAGTGTGCCAGTGCACGGAAGTGCTCGGCCTTGACGTGCACGAGGGTGGTCCAGGACGGGGGCACATAGTCTTGAACAGGTGGCTGGGCCATGGCCCGGTGCACAAGCCTGTACTCGGCTGCCACCTGCCAAGCAAGTATGTGGGCACACTGGGGTCTCCCGCCCTCCCTGAGAAGCCTTTGCTTTTTCACACCCTGGGCCTAGCCTCTAGTGACCCCAAACCAAATTCTTGTGCCCCAAGCTGAGCCTGACCTCCAGTGCCCAGGGACCCACGTTTCTGCTCTCATTTGTGTTGGCTGCCCAAGGCAGGGACCCAGGACCCCATGAACCAGGACAGTTGCTGGTTTGGGGATTGACACAGAACAGAATTAGTCTGACCTGGCTCCCTGACCTAGCTCTGCCCCCATCCTGCTGACCCTCACTCCTCTGGGCCCTGACCCAGGCCCTCTGCCCACAAGTGACTACAGAACAGCCAGGCCGTTGAGGGTTCTGGGCAGGGTTCCTTGGCCTCACCTGGGCAGCCTCCTGGGCCAGGCAGTTGTGGGGGGTGGCAGGGGCTGGCAGTGAGAGGCCCTCGAAGATGCACTCCTGGGCCTGTGCAGCCATGAGCTGCTCCAATGTGGAGAGAGAGGCAGTACTCATGTCCAGGCTCGGGGCATGGGAGAAGTTCTCCCTCAAGAGGCTGAAGGCCCCTATGAAGTGAAGTGGGTGCTCACAGTGGCAGGGCTTCCCTACACCCACCAGGGCCACCCCAGGGACTCCCAGGAAGGGGAGAGTGCCAAGCTCCTCACGGTGGGGGGGGGCAGCCCACCCGCTCCAGCTCCTGCCCCAGGAAAGGAAGAGAGGTGGACCCACTGTGGATCTGGGTTGCCCTCACCAGCAGCCCTTTGGAAGGCTTGGGCAGCACGGTAGGCACCCTCTGGGTGGGAGCGGTCCTGGCATGCCCCGATCTGTGTGTGGAGTGCGCCGATGTTGAACAGCACACTGCCCTTCTCAAAGGCCAGGGCCCGTTGCTGTGCTGGGACTCCTGTGAGCGAGTCGTACCTGTGGGGGCTCAGGCTGGAAGCAGTTCTCTGGAACCTTGGCCTCCTGACCCCAGGGCACCCCCAACCCCAGCCCCTACCACTGGAAGAGCAGCCCAGGGCTTCGAGCAGGGCTGAAGAAGCGCATGTCCAGGAAGCACAGCTGATTGTAGTAGGCCTCGAGCAGCTGCAGGCCTGCCTCATCCCGGCTGGGGGTCCGCATGGCCTGTAGGACAGAAGTGGCTGTGCCCCACCACCCAGACCACCCCCCCAATTTAGGAGCCTTATGGGAGTAAATGCCATCAAGGGCTTCAGGGTACAAGGCAAGGGTAGCCTGGGGTGAGAGGAGCAAGGTGTGGCTGCATAGAGCCCTCTGTAAGGCCCAGGACCCTGCAAGCACATTGGTGTGGTTCTCCCTGATGTCCTCCCCAGATGTGGGGACTCCTACCAGGTAATCATCTGCCCTGAGCTTCGCCATCCCAAGCCTCACTTTTCTCATCTCTGTCCGGGGCTAGAAAAAGAAGGGCAGAGTGGGGCTGGGAGTAGCCTACCCACCTGCCGTAGGCCCTCCAGCTCCAAGATCTCTGCCTCATAGGCAGCTCCATCCTCTCCAAAGTGACCCGAGATCAGCTCCTGTGGAAGAACTGTGCTGGCCTCTGGGGCACCCAGTGCCTGGCAGTTTTCCCTGGGGAGGAAAGGTCCAGGCGCAGAGCAAGCTTGCTGCCCATGTAGGGCTGGAAGGGCTGAGGGCCTGGTGTATGGACAGGCTTGGTGGCATTGGAACAGGTATTGGGGTAGGTCTGTCCCTTGGCTCTGGGCCCCAAGCCCCTACAGAGCTGGAGCTAGGATTCATGCTGGTGCTAGCTTTATATGCATTCCTTTATTAATCCCATGGCAATCCCAAAAGGCAGGTGCCATCTGTCACTTGGACACACAGACACTGAGGCACAAGGTCAAGTCCTCTTCCATGAGACCCTCTGAGGCAATGGCAGACAGGACATTGCCCTGTCTGAGTCTGAGCACCCTCACTATACTTGGGAGGCTGCAGCTTTTTATAGCACAGCCTCCAACTAGATGTCCCTGAGCCAGCAGGCTCCTCAGCAAGGTGTCCATGTCCTATCATACCCATCCTAGGGCAGGGCCCAAATCCAAGCCCACCAGTCAGATCCACAGCCCCAATGTATGGAAACTAAGTGCAGCAGGAGGAAGGAAGCTTGCCCAGCACAGGACACCAGGTTCTTGTCCATGTCTCTGGGAAGCCCTGGGTCATTCCTTTCTCCCACTGGGCCTCAGTTTCCTCATATGTTCAATGAGTTGGCTGAACCAGAAAGCTTCTCAGGCCCTAGGGCAGGTTAGTGTCCCTCAGTGCTCATAGGCCAGTGTGTACCTTCAAGGGTGTAGCCCAGTCCAGCTCCTTGGTCTCCTTCAGGCCCAGGGGGATCATGGGGACAGTGACACCTTCACTAGAATCAGAAGTATCAGCTCTGGATGTGCTCCTGCAGTGGCCTAGAGTCCACTCCCTGCCCCTCCTGTACCCAGACCTAGGATGCTTTCCTCAACCCATACATGTGTGCACCCCCACTTGCATACACACCCCTTGGGCTTCTCCATGTCCACCATGCTGCTGAGCCCCTCTAGCTCCTCCTTCAGCAACTGAAGGTTGGAGTTGACATAGCTCAGCTCCAGGGCGACTGTCTCTCGGACCTGGTTGTTGCTGGTTGCCCTGGGGAAGGTGAGAGGTGGTCAGAAGCCCTGGCCCACAGATATTATGACCCAGGTACAATGAGGCCCTCCTGCCCTGCAGATCTCCGAAGCCCAGCTCCCAGAGGATGTGTGCTGTGGAGTGGGTATGGTGGGCTGCAGGCCCACAGTTGCCCTGCTTCTTCTGAGTCTTCTCCCTACAATTCATGACCTCATGCAGAGTGGCTGCATGGGGTACCTTGGCTGACATGCCCTCCAGGGAAACGCCCACACAACTTTGTTGGATGAGAGGCAGCCAGACTCTTCTCTGTGTCTTACAGAGGGACCAGGGGGTTCCTGACCACAGTGAGCTGGAGACAGAGGGTGCTCAGGAGTGTCGAGTCCTGGGCTCATGTACAGCCTAGGCTTCTGTGGTCAGTGGGCTCTGAGAAAGAGCCAGAAGACTCTCCCAGTTCCCCAGCCTTGGGATGTCTGATCCTGTGACACGCTTTGGCCTCTTTCTCCCATGCTGGTCACCACGTGCACTCCTCAAGCCTCCCAAAGGGGATTCCAGTTTTGGACCCTTAGGCAGGGCTTGGTTTGTCTCAGTCTCTGCGGAATGATAAGCACACTGCATGGCTGCTGGCACCTGGGTGGGAGCTGCATCACAGCCACTTCCTCACATGTCCTTCTGGATCAGCCACCAGCAGACGCCTGCCTGGTTCATCAGCTTGGCCCTGGTGCTCGTGTGAGCCATGCCCACCCTCAGGGTGGCTGCAGGTGCTCACCTGTAGAGGTTCTCGGCACCTGTCCGCATCCGCAGCTCCTTGCTGATCTGCTGGTGGATCCGGGTTCTGCGGCTCTGCAGCCAGCTGTGCTGAGTCTGTGCAGTGAGGCCACAGGAGGTCACACTCATCCCAAGCCCTGACCAGGCTACCCTAAGGGAAATAGGCTAGAGCCTGTGAAGCAGGCCTGGCTAGGGATATGCGTGCCCAGCTGGCACAGGAACTCTCCCCTCAACACTTCAAAGATGTCAGACTCAGCTCCATGCCAGTCAGCTAAGAGACCCACATGTCAAGTATCTTCCCTGCATGGCCCATCCTCCTCTCACCAAGCACCCTCACAGTATACCTTGCCCAGACTGATCTTAAACTCCTGGCTCAAGCGGTCCTCCTGCCTCAGCCTCCCAAGTAGCTGGTATTACAGGTGCATGCCATAGCAGCTGGCTCTTAAAATGTGGGAGATTATGAATTTTTATTTATGGTGCTGGGGATAGGTCCCCAGGCCTCAAGAATGCTTGGAAAGTGCTTTTCTACTGAAATGAGCCTCTCCCATAGCCCACCTTTCAAGCAAGGTGTAAATCTCTGCCAAGAAGCCCTCCCTAACTAAGCTTTTCTGTGCGTTATCTCACTCTCTGGGGACCCCAGCCCATTCACACAGGGAGCCTATCACTGAAGTCCAGGGCGAGGCCTGTCAATAAGAGCTTGATTTCCATAGCAGGCAGACCTGGGTGGGCTTGGCTTCAGGGCTTTATCCACAAGGTTTTGTGGGGCAGAGTGGACACAGGCATCAAGCAGCACAGGCACCGGGCAACCCCAGGCTGTGGGCTGCAGGGCTTGGGCAGTAGGCACAAAGCCCCATGAGGTAGAGAGAAAGGTGCTGAGTCCCACTGTCCCTTTGGCAGCCCTGGTGGAATCCAGGTTCCTCCTGGATGACATGAGGGAGGTGATCTGGGTTATTCCTGCGCCTCTATCCCCAGCCAGGGGCTCAGTCACAAACCGAGGCTCTATGCCAGCAATGCCAAGCAGTGAGGGTACAAGGCCACAGTGCACAGCTTCACCAGGACTGGGTCACTCCGTAGCCCAGGAAATGTTAAGGACTTCTCAGAGGGTTCCTATCCTGCAAGGTCCCAACAGACAGTTACCAGCCCTCAACAATGCCTTGAAGGACACTGTCCTGGTGGTGTGGGCAAAGAGCTTAATTTGTGCAGTGCCACAGTGGGGCTTGGAGTCTCAACTTGAGGACCCTCATTTGTTCTAGCCCCTCATGCACTCTGAGCAGGGCCTTGTACCTCAGTTGGAGGAGGCTCCTGGACTTTGGCCACCTTGCTTAGGGCTCCGGATGCCCTTCCCCAGGCTAGCTTTCCAAGAGGGGCAGATTAGTCAGCAAAGACTTTCTTTCTTTCTTTTTTTTTTAACGATATCATCAATCTTTTACTTAACTGCCCTTCATTTCGAAGGAAATGATACAATTTCAAATTGGAACTTCCTTCTCAAGAATTAGTGGAAGAACATAACTGATTTAACATACAACCTTCAAGAAAAATAAAGTTTATACAATTCATTGGGAAATAAAATGCACTGAAGTCTATCCTGCAAGTTAATGTAATTTTCCATGGGTCACAAGTAATATAGCCAAGAAAAATATACAATGAATAAATCAGTCACGTTTATAGTTATTCTGATTTTAAAACACTCACAAATGAAATCTAACTTTCCAAATAATTTTATGACCATGATAATGCTAGATTGTATTCTAATTTATATTAAAAAAAATGGTTACACAAGCACATAATTATCAAGAGTCTTCAACACAGTGGATCCCATTTTTTTAAAGAAAAAAAAATTACAAAACAAGTAGTCCTTAAATTTTCTTAGCTTTCCATATGTAAAGACTTTCTATAGGAGGGGGCACAGGCTGAGACAGGAAGGCAAGAGGCCTTCAAGTGGTTCCTGAGAACCAAGGAGAGGGGGCTCACACTGGACAAACAAGGGCAGAAAAGCAGGGGGCTGGAGTGCCTCCTGTTAGGGACCTGGGCCCACTGATGGAGGAGGAGCGGAGCAGAGCAGACCCCAGCCTTGCCTCCTTGGCTGCCCAGCAGCTGTGCTGCAGGGCCTGTGCTGCTTTCCCATGGCACTCCATGCTTGCCTGCACAGGAGGGACAAGATGAGGCCACCTGTTCTCCTCTCCATGGGGGTGAGGATCTGGGGACGGGAGGGGGATCCACTGCCAGTAGCTAAACACTCCTTCCTTCTAAAGGTCCCCCTGCAGGTTCTGAGGGCTCTGATGAGCAACTAGAGCCAGGCCACTATGAGGCCCTGGCCACTTCCTTTTCTTCTTACCCTCAGTGTTCCATGAAGCCTCCTAACTATGTCAGGGAAGAGGGTGGAGGACAAGCAAGCCAGAGCTGGATCAGTGGAGTGGAATGGACTCCAGAAGCTGGTGGCCCACACCCAGTTTTCCACACTGGGCAGAGGGACATGCCCATTAGTGAGAGACATGGATGACAGGGAACCAATCCGCTCCCGGGACAACCTCCTACTCTCTGGAAACATAGGCTATCCAGCCCCTCCCTTGTGCTGTCAACTATACTGTGATATTCCTGTCTTGCTGTATGCAAAAGGGTGAACCTGTTATGGTCTCTGTTGTCCCAACAAGGGTGTACCACCCAGGGGCAGGATTTGGCCATAGCCTGAGTGGAAAGGGAGAGGGAAAAGAAAAGCAGACACCTCCCACACCCACCCAGGGGCATGGTGTAGGCAGTGGCCTCTACCTGGGATTAGCAAAAGGGAGGGGACAGCAAAACAGAGCAGGGCATCCCTATACCTCCCCAAATTCCCCCCAGCTGGGGAAGCTCCCTGCGAGAGGACCTCACCCTAACAGACAAGCTTCCCCTTCCCAGTGCCAGGCCTTGGGCACCCTGTTTGTCAATGCCCACCTATCTCAGGGAGCCCTGGCTCTTACCCTCTGTGACTTTACTTGAACACAGAGGACTTGGAGGGCACATGAGGGTACCTCACCAGCCACCTCTGTCCCCTAAGCAGCATTTAGGTAATAGGGTCTAACAGGCACTGTTGCAGAGAGTCTCCTAGAACACAGAGGCTACAAGCCACATACATGAAAGTTGGACTACAGAGTGGCATGCACACTAGCCACAAGTTAGGGCAGGTGTCCTCAGGACCTGCCTCTTTTTATGCTCACCAGGGACACCTAAGCACTGCCCCACTCCAAGTGGCCAGTAGGCCAGGCCCAGGAATGTGGGTTTGTAACAAGCCCCCAGAGCAGTGGTGGTGAACCTATGGCACATGTACCACAGGAGGCTATCACTGAAAGCTCTAAAAGATTCACCATCACTGACTGAGAGCATACTGGTGTCCCTCCAGGCAGGGGACCCTTGAGCTGACCTGTCTGCTGTACTGGAAAGCAGATCAGAGGCACAGCACCTCCCTCCCTGCTGCTCTGTCCCTGGCTTCTCCCACTGGCCTTCACTGACCCCTCAGCCCCGTGACCTCCTTAGGAAATGGTGAGTCTCAGCCATGGCTGTACTTCCCTATAACCTGGGCTGGCCGGGGATGCTCCCAAGAGGCTGGTGCCCAAGGGTGGGGCTTCTGAGACACTGCAGTCTGGGGGAGGGCATCAGTGAGGACAACTAACTTGGGGTTATGACCAGGCCCCTTCATGCTCCTGGTGAGTAACTTTGGGCCACTTTCTCAACCAGTTCAGTTCTTTTTTTTTGGGGGGGGGGTACCAGGGATTGAACTCAGGACTTTGTGCTTGCAAGGCAGGCGGCAGCACCACTGAGCTAAATCCCTGGCCCATCACCCAGTTCTTCAGATAAACAGAAGCCGAGGGCCAGCAAGGAGCTCACATGGCATGCTGGGTGGAGGATGAGCACTCTGGTGCACCCATTTCACTAGGCCGAGCACCAAATAGGCACTCACTGAATGCCAGCACTCTCTCCTGCTGTGGTGTACTCTAGTTGCACAGATCTGTGCACAGGGGCTACAGATCCAGGCATGGCCTTTACATAAACAGCTAACTAGTTCTGTCCGACTCAACTCTGAGCAGAATGGCTGGTTTAAATGCCTAGTGGGGGTTATGGTCTTGCTCCAGCCCAGGACTTTCCAGATGTAGAGGCTGTCAGGCTGTGTGGTATATCTTAGGACCAGCCTGAGTAGGGCTAGGGCCCAAGGCAGCCTCCCATAGGTACCCCTAGTACCCTAACTGCTTCTGGGTCATACCAGGAAAGTGCGTACATACAGATGCAGCACAGAATGACCATAGGAGCCAAGGGAGGGCAAAGAAAGAGCCTGGTGGCCCACAGCATGAAAAGTGGGCCCTCTGAGAGTCCTGGCACATCTTGTTTGTGCAACCTCCCAAACATTCTTTCTACCCAAGGCAACATGTGCTCACTCCAAAGGCCACTTTCAGGCCACCCTTCGAGGGAGAGTTCACAGAGGGCAAGGGACAGGCTGCTTCCCTCTCTCTGGTACCTGTTAATTGCTATGGCATCTGGTATGCTGGGAGGAGGTGGGTAGGGAGAGCCTTTGGGGGCCTGGCCTGCATCACCTGGCTAGCCCAAGTCCTGGCCGATACCTCACTCCTCTACCCAGAAGACCTGGGCCTCAAGGTACACAAAAGCTGAACTGAATCAGTGAGGTTCTACTAGTCTGACACCTAGAAAGAAAGAGGGCAAAGTGCCATGGCAAAGGCTTGGTACTAACAACAACAGTCATTCTGCTTAGCAGCCCTTGTAGGGGTGGCACCAACACTGGGGGACCTCTCACTGACCCCCCACCCCCAACACGCAGGCTGGGGCTGCAGAGGAAGCCTTCTCAGGCACAGGCTGAACCGAATGTATTTCCAAACTCCAACGTCACTTCCCCAGGGCTCCTGGAAACTAGGTTACAGTCAAATCCGGGGTTAGGGCCTTCAGAGACCGGAGAAGTTGAGGAAAGCACCACAAAGACAAACTGCCCAGAGATGATATCTAAGAGGCTTTAGCTACCTGGTGCTACAAGCTACATCAAGTGGACACCCAGTTCTGGAGCAGGCGCACAGGGCAAAGCTACAAAGAAAGCTTTATGGTTGCTAGAAACAAGCCTGAGCTTACGTGGTGAAGCTGTCACTGATCAGAACCCACACCTGGTACCGGGGTTCAGGGAAATGACAGCCCAGACCTCGGCTCCCACAGAAATTTCCTCTCCTCCCCAAATGGGACCCCTAAAAGGGGCGGGGAGAAGCCCAGAGAAGGGACACAGGCTCTGCAGTCCCCTTGGGGCCTCAATTTCCCCAGTGCTGGCATCCAGGGTCGAGTAGGGCACCGGAGGAGCGGTCTGGAAGGGCGCACACCGGGACGCGCCTCCGAGCACAGGGCAAGAGGTCGGGGGCCCGCACCCCTTCTCCGCGACCCACCTTGAGACCGCTGCCGGCTGCCTGCAGCCGCGCGCCGTCCTCGCCTTCACCCTGGCTTTCTGGCCTCTCCTCCAGAATCATCGTCGTCCTGCCGAAAGCCGGCCCGGCGAGTGAATGAAATGCCCCGGACGCCTGCGAGGGAAGCCCGCGACTGTAACCGTAGCTCCTCAGCGGTCGCCACTGGTCGCAGCTCTGAGCTTCTAGCTAGAGGGGAGGCCTGCGGGGTTTGGGCGGTGGGTCGCCTGAGAAATTGGCCACTATCCAATCGGCGGTGGTAGCTGCCCCGACGGACAGAAATGTCTACCAATCAGACCTCAAAGAAGGGGGCTCCGGGAAGTAGCCCCGCCCTACCCCCGGTGTTGGCTCCAGTAACCCCTGGCAACCGTGTCCCCCAACCCCGGCGCCGAGAGCAGTGCGCATGTGCACTGGCTGCTTTTAAACTAGCGAGAAAGTTAGCCGAGGGAATACTTCGTTGGCAGCGGGGTGGCGACGTGGGCGTGGCCACAGCCCTGTACTCAATCTGGGGCTTTATTCCGTCACCCTGGTAGCGGGACCTTCCGAGAGGACCGCATCAAAAATGTTTACAATGGAGTTTTTAAACGGTTAGAGACCCGTGCTGTGGGAGTTCTGAAACAATGCCTGATTTCTTCCCTGCCCAGCAGAGCTAAGCTCTGCTCCGACGCTTGTCCGCGAGCCGCGGGTTCCAGAACCCGCTTCTGAACCGTCTACTTCCAGAACCTATTTATGGCACTTGTTTCCACAGTCTGATTCCTCTACTGACCTGTTTTCAGAACTCACTTTCAGAACAGGCTTGCCTCTAGCATCGTTCGTAGAGTTGGATTTTGTCCAGAACCCTCTGCGTTGCTGGCCCTGCACCGTGTCTGCCGGCGCTTTCATCAGCCTCTAGGTTCTGGCGGCTCTGGCCACTCAGGTTTAATGTGCAAACACACCCTTTGCAAGCAGAAAGATGGGGTGCAGGCAGTGACCGCAGTCCTCTTCGAGTTCCTCTAAAGTTAGAGTCCTACAGGCCAATTGTCCCACCCAGGTCACTATTGGCCTTTTTTGAGCTGGGGGTTTAATCTACACCCCCCCCCACGTTGGCCTTGTCATCCTCAGATCTAAATTCTGTAAACTAAGCTCTTTGGCCTATCTGCAGTGGCCCCCTAGTAGCATCGCTCTCATCACGCCCCTGCCAGCCACTCCAAATCTGATCACGACTTGTCCTTTCTTGGTGGGCTTTTTGGGCTCTCAGGCATTTGCTCCCTTGCAGGTGCTTCAACCTTCTGCCTGGTGGATCCCCACCTGTTCTTACTTCCCTCTGCCACTGATGGCTTGACGGCCAAAGTCTCTCCATTTTGTCCATCTTTCCTGTGGGCTCTGAAGCTGGCCAACAGCTCATAAATTCACAGTGAGTATACAAGTGTAGGGACATCAGCACAAGTTATCTGGCATATTTGTCGTCATCCTGTACCAGCAAACGGATGCAAACCCTCTTAGTGTTTCAGACTGTTCTGTGTGTACAGAAGGCATCATTAGTATACTTTAGCAAGCATTTGTGACCAAAATAGTGCTCAGTGCTTAAATACTCCTCTCACTTTCAGCAGTTCTTCAGGGCTGCATAGATCAGCAGGCAGGGGCCGCTGGGAGACTGGAAATTCTAGGCTCAGGTAAACATCAGGTTGGAGCTTAGAATAAGGTCATTTTCAGGTATGGGATATGGCATCAACATTTCTCTCTCTCTCTCTCTCTCTCTCTCTCTCTCTCAGAAAGCCACTGATAAAGGCCAAAGAAGAGAGGGATTAAATCAGTGATATACTCAGATGTTAAGCAGTTAGACCTCAGTGGTTGTGTCTCGGAATTCACTGATCTCCTTGGGGTCATCACTCTCACACTGGAAGAGATGGCCATGTGAGCTGTGCCAGCTCACTGAGTGAGTGAAACCACAGGCGAGGCAAACTTAGAAACAAGTAGGGGCCTATCTGGCAGGGTCCCCAGGAGTTGGGGAACAGCCAGGCTGGTGGGCTGTGGGTCAGAAAAGCCCAGGAAGGCAAACTGATAGACTCCCTGGTGTGTCTGAATACACTGAGATATCCTTGGTCTGCAGAGAGCTTGGGGTTGAACTGATGAAAGGTAAACACTAAGTAGTGCAATGATGACAGAGTAAGACAACTGTGAGCTCCAGAGAAAACGAAAATGCTGTGAAGGAAATAGAAAGTGGCCGTTATGGCTTGGATGTGGCTCAGGGGTATGGCTCTTGCCCAGCAAACACAAGAGCCCAGGTTTGATCCTCAGCATTGGAAAAAAAAAAGAGTAACAATTGATTATTACTTGAGTCAGCTGTATACTGTAGTCTTTTTTGTTTTTTTTTTTTCCTTGAGACAGGGTCTTCCTATGCAGGCTGGCCTTGAGTTCACTATGTAGCCCAGGCTGGTTTTAAACTTGTGGTGATCCTTCTGCCTCAGCCTCCCAGTGTATATCAGTAGGTAACCCCTACATTAGAAAAAATTGTTCCAGATCTTGGATTTGGTTTAGTGGTAGAGCATTTGCCTATCATGTAAGAGCTCCAGGCCCTGGGTTTAATCCTCAGCATTACAAACCAAAATAAAACAAAGTAAAAATGAATGTTCTATAAGCAGGAAGAGAAGCCAGGTGGGTAGAGCTGTAGAATTAAATACTAGATGATCAACTCAAAGAATTAGGAGGCCAATAAGCCATGGTGGGGTGTGCGCTGTTTGCTAAGCAGGTCTTCTAGAACTACTTGGCTTATCAAACTATATGTGTATATTATCCTTATAGCAGTAAGGTTGCCAGCTTTTTTGTTGTTCTTGTTTTTATTTTTTGTTTTTTGCTTTTGTGACAGGGTCTCACTATGTAGTATAGTTCAGGCTGGTCTTGAACTCACTATTTAGCCCAGGCTGGCCTCAACAATCCTCCTGACTCAGCCTTCCAAGTGCTGGGATTATGGATAGGAGCCACTATGCCCAGTAGCCAGTTTATTATTTAATTAACTAATTTATTTATTGAGACAGGATCCCACTATATAGTTTAGGCCAGCCTTGAGCTCACTGTAGCCTGGGCTGGTCTTGGCAATCCTGCTTTAGCCTCCCAAGTGCTGGGATTACAAGTGTGAGCCACCATGCCCTATTTAGCTTATTTTTTACAGTAGATATCTAGAAATTTACAATTTAGAAGGCCAAGGGCTGGGGATGTGGCTCAGTGGCACCATGCCTGCCTGGTTGCTCAAGGTCCTGAGTTCAATTCCCAGTACCGGGGGTGTTGGGGGGCAAAATAATTGTGCGTGGTGGCACATGCCTTTAATCCCAACACTGGGAGACACTGAGGCAGGTGGATCTCAAATTCAAGGCTAGCCTGGGCAGTTTTATTGAGACTTTGTCTCAAAAAATAAAAAGGAAACTGGGCATGGTGGCAGATGCCTGTATTCCTAGCACTTGGGAGGCTGAGGCAGGAGGATCACCATGAGTTGGAGGCCAGACTGAACTAAATAATGAGACTCTGTCTCAACAACAACAAAACAAAACAAAAAAAGAGGAGCAAGGATGTAGCTCAATAATAGAGTGCTTGAGTATCGTAGATACTGTATTAGTAATTTAAGATTGGAATCAATAAAAGAATTTGTGATGGCCACAGTCTTGATACCAAGTGAAATCGGGAGTACTCAGTGAATTAAAGCTGATGAGGTTGATATGGCATTTGAATTTAGGGTTGTTTGTTGTAGAAAGACATGAATGTGTCCAGTCAGAACTGTGAGGAAATGAGTTTGTTTAAGCCATCCAGTGTGTGGTTCTTGCTGTGGCAGGCTGAGCTGATTGAAACTATATAAAGGCCAACTGACTAGAAACAAACACACAAAACTAGAAATTTAAATTAAGATGTTTCATTAACAAATGTGACAAGGAAGCTGCTGAATAAGACAGACATGATCTATGAGGTGGATATAATTTTACTGAACAACTTAAAACCAGACTTGACTGGTTTGATGGACCATGTATCTTTTTTTTTTTATTTTTTTGAGACAGGGTCTCACTATGTAGTTGAGACTGACCTGGAACTCACTATGTAGTCCAGGCTGGTTTCAAACTCACAGCAACCCTCCTGCCTCAGCCCCCTGAGTGCTGGGATTACAGGCGTGAGCCACCATGCCCAGCTCCATGTATCTTAAAAATATGTAATTCTTTAAAAATGCCAGCTCTCCCTAAAGGTGTCTTAAAGGTTTCTATGTAGACTATTAAAAATGTCAGGAAAAAATAGGAGATAATTTTTATAACCTCAGGATTGAAGGAATATTGTATATCAAAACAGAAAATCCAGGTACCAAAAAGGAAAAAACTTGAAAATTTCACCACATAAAATTTTAATATTTCTTTTTTTATTTTAATAGTTCTAAATTTTTAAAAAAATATTTCTGGCACCAAGTGGCACAATGCTGGAAGTGAAGCATAATGTCCAGGCCTGTGAGTGGTAGCATTGGGTGGCAAAAGATGATGGCAATCTGCCCAGAAGAATTCTGAAAACAGAATGCATAGCCTGAAAGTGGAATGTGGGTCTCGATATCCAGGTGCTCCTCTGTCAGTCAGATTTGTACCAAAAATTAATATGAATGGAATAAATCCAGTGGAATGGGAGATGCACGGAAGAGATCAGCGTTAGCAAAATGGCAAAATCTTTGTACCATTAAAGTGGTACTTCAAGAGCTAATATGATGTCCAAAGAAAGTAAAAAGCTTCCACAACCACTAGAAGGACAAGCATACAATAATTAACTTTAGTGGATTGCAAACTTTTTTCATACCAGGTGTGGTAGCCACACACCTGTAATCCCAGAAGTCAGAAGGCTGAGGCAGGAGGATCGCCACAAGTTTGAGGCCAGCCTGGGCTACACAGTGAGTTTAAGACCATTCTGAACTACATAGTGAGACCCTGTCTCAAAACAAGCACACAAACAGAAACCTTGCCGTAAATAAACAATTGTCTACTCATATTAATGTCTTAATTAAATATCACAATGCAAAATACCCACACATCAAGTAAAAGAATTCCAGTTGGACATTTGTAAGAATATATATTTTATATATAAAATTATGTTTTCAAGTAACAGGAGGAAAAATGCTGCACAATTCCTCCTCTTTTTTTAAAATTACTTTTAATTGACAAGATTCACACTAATAACAAAAACATACTTGTAATTGTTTTCTTCTCTGACCGTTCTTTTCTGGACCGTCTTCTTTCTGTTCTTAAGGCACTGTCATTTAAACACGAACCTGGAGTCCTCCAAGTAGAATTCAGGTTTACCAGAGGAAAGCATGGCATGAAGTGACAGGTGGCAGGGGCAATGTATGTTTCTGAAAGGCTCAATCTCAAGAAGGAAACAGAAGT